TGGAGTTCAGGCTCCTGTACCTTTCAGGACAGCCTTCAAAATGAGGTGTGACAGTTCTCCACTGGCTGCATAAGGAACCAAGGCTTGACAGGCCCAGAAGGTCTGTCCTGGTTCCATCACCTCTCCATGCACCTGTAAGAGGTGGCCTGACTGCAGACTGTGCAGCTCTTTCTAAACACAGCTTCTGGACAACAGAGGAGTGGCTGTGCAGTAAATGCCCTCATCCAGTCAGAACCCCGTGTGTGTTTTGGTAGAAGCTTAAATCTACTCTGAGTTGTGCTGTTACCATGGCTGATCACAGAGTAGTTTCCTTTCTCTTAATTTGTAACTAAATTTGTTACACAAAACAGAAGGGCGTTTTGAGCAACTCGAGCAATCTCCACGGTGAAGAGGAGCAGGAGCTGATCTCTGCATGAAGTTGCTGGTGCTAATGAGTTTTGTCTCTCTTAGCAACCTGTGTTCAACTCCCTCACAAACTGCCTGGGACCACGGAAGCTCCTGCATAGTGGGAAGCTGTACAAGGCCAAGAGCAGTAAGGAGCTGTACGGATTCCTTTTCAATGACTTCCTCCTGCTCACCTACATGGTTAAACAGTTTGTGTCTTCTGGCTCCGATAAACTGTTCAGCCCCAAATCCAACTCCCAGTTCAAAATGTACAAAATGGTGAGTGAACCAAGGTGTTCCATGGTCATGTTAGTAGCAGTGGATCCTGGCTTCTGATGAGGAATGCTGCTGTTCTGCTGGGATTAGCTGCCTGGCCCCTTTTGCTGTCATACAGGCATGTCCTGGCAGACAACTTGCACAACTGCCATTGGCTTGGATCCTGGAAAAGGACAGGCTTTTGTGTCTTGGTTTAACAAACACTTCCATCCACTTTGGGGAGGAAAGGGCAGAAGAAGCATCGTGCCTGAGCAGCTCAGTGGGATGTTCAGAAGCAGGAGCCTTGACTTGAGTTTGCACAAGTTGCATCCACAAGAAATTTCCTGTCCTTCTTCAGAAAACAGTAAAAGGTGCAAAACTTTAGTCGCTCTGTCGACACAGTGCATGTTCTCAAGATTCTGAAGTTGGGGAGATAAGTTTAAGTATTGGGGTTGCTTTCCCATAGGAAGCCTGAGAAATTCCAGGGACTTCCAAGCTTCACACTGCAGCTCTGCTTACACAGACATGCCCCTTTCACAAAGCTCTCCATCTAGGAAGACAAGAATGGGGTGTATTGCCAGAGTAGTTTTTCTCTCAACCTTTTCTCACATCCTTTACACGATGATCTCAGTGTTTGTCCTATGTCTTATGACTTTAGTTTTCCCTACAGTAAAACAATGTATTTAAACATCCTTGTAAACTTTCAGCTCATTGTCACAGGGTGATGCTGCGACAGTGACATTTGCTCTTCTTTCAGCCGGTTTTCCTTAATGAAGTCCTGGTGAAACTGCCTACAGACCCTTCAAGTGATGAGCCAATTTTCCACATATCACACATTGACAGAGTTTACACACTTAAAACTGACAACATCAACGAGCGGTGAGTAGTGACAGTGCAGATCTGAGCCTAAACTTGCAGATCGAGGCTGCAGGCTGTGTCTCAAGTGAGCAGACATGGGGGGCTCTCAGCTCAAGAATAGGGTTTTGTCCCTTGGTCAGGAAATAAACCCACTTTACTCTCATTTGAATGACAGGTTTTCTCTGATTTTATTCTGCTTGTGCAGCAGCTCTTGCAGTGGAATTCAGCCACATCTGCTGCTCCTTGATGTTACTGTTTTATACAAGAATAGTTTAGGGCTGCAAAGTCCAGCATCCCATAGGATTCTCCCCCAGTCCTAGTCAGTTTTTAATGTGACCCAGCAGTCTTTAATAGAACAGCAGCTCCACTTTGTGTTTATTTAGTCTGATGTGGAATGTGGCATTAAGATTAAATCCAAAAACTCCATCGCTTTAGTCCATGACCTAACTTGATTTGTGATGCCTCTGAAGCCCAGGGAGGGGGAAATGGCCAAAGAGATTGGGGCAGAGTTACTGATGCTGAAGACTTCCCTGCCTGTGGGATGAGCCTGACTGTAGGGATTGCTCTTTGCAGTACTGCCTGGGTCCAGAAAATCAAAGCGGCGTCAGAGCAGTACATCGAAACGGAGAAGAAGAAACGTGAAAAGGCTTATCAAGGTACCTACAGAGTTCTGCATTTCCCTGTCATCCACCTGGAGGATGCCACAGTGTCTGTGCAGGATCTCCCTCTTCAGATCTATTGCCAGTTTTTACAGTTCCAACCAACCCATTTATTTCTGACCTCTCTGTTCCCAGCTCGCTCACAGAAAACCTCAGGAATAGGACGTTTGATGGTGCACGTGATTGAAGCAACAGAACTAAAGGCCTGTAAGCCCAATGGTAAGTGAGGGAAACAGTCTCAGATCACTTTTATTCCTGTAACATTTGGAAAGGCTTGCTGAGAGGAGTTTGGTGATTTGGGAAACACTGTCGGTCAGCTACAGTTTCTGTATGAATTAGCCATTCTTTAGCTTCAGAGGAACAAATGAGGAACCAGCTCTGTGCTGCTGTGGGATACAGGGATTGCCTGATCCACATCTGGGCAGCAGCATCGATGTGTGTCCAGGCAGGCTCCAGGTGGAGTGGAGGTTTCTGCACTGCAGGGGGTTTTCACTCCCTGTTCTGTGTTTAGGGAAGAGCAACCCGTACTGTGAGATCAGCATGGGCTCGCAAAGCTACACTACCAGAACCATGCAGGACACCCTGAACCCCAAGTGGAACTTCAACTGCCAGTTCTTCATCAAGGACCTGTATCAGGATGTCCTGTGTATCACCATGTTTGACAGGGATCAGTTCTCACCCGATGGTAAGTGTGGACATTTAGGAAAAGCAGCAGTTCTGAGAGCCTGTGGGTCTGATTGCTGCCTGGGAAGTGTTGTGTGAAAGCAGTGCCTCAGGACACAGAAGGTTCAGTAGCCTTCCAGAGCCAGCAGCTCCAGGCAGTCAGATTGGATCCCACTCTGGCTTTTATGTCAGACATGGTATTTTTTTTTTTTTGGTCAGACTGGGCAGACGGAGAATTTGAAAGCAGAAGTTTTACTCTCTCACTACAGGTGCCCAAAAATAAGGTGCCAGGTTGTATTTGCACAGCAACAGCTTGATAAGCTTTCTTGTTTTGCTTGGAAACAACACAGTTTTGGCTGTCAGGTACTCCCTAAAAGCTTAAATGCTCTTTCAGTGCTGACATGTGGTTGATTATTGCAGATTTGCTAGGAACTGTCTTGACCTGAGGTGCCATGTGTGTAACTATAGCTCAGTCTTTTCTCCTGTGAGGTAACATGACTTTGGCTGCTTCTCCCAGCCGGACAGCAGAGTCTGTTGGTTTTTCAGTCCACAGTGAGCCTTTTAATGCACAGACACATGTGCATGTTGTATAAGAAATGGCCACAAAGAAGGTATATGATTTCTGAGTAGAACTGTAAACCTACTAGTGGTAGTAATTGTTCAGGGTCATTGTTCTTGAGAGAAGAATGATATATAAGCTTAATAAAAGTTGGCTGAGCCAAAACAGTTGATTTTTTTTATTGTCCTTGTGGCATCTCAGCTGATTTGTAAACAGGTTCTATCACCTAACTCTGACCTGCCAGCTCTAAAACTGGGGAACATTTGAAATTGTGTTTCTGAAAGGGTATTTTCTAAGAGTGTTTTTAAAGCCCTAAGCTCAAACATGACAATAAAGGCATGTGGTCCATCCTAAATCCATAGCATTTTTGTCTTCTAAAAAGACCCTTTTTTGTCACTGCTGGCTGGTTTACACAGGGCTGAGGGCCAGTCAAACAGGAAACCTGGGAGCAGTGCTCTGGAACTGAACACCTACTGTGCAACATTGCTGCTTAACCTGACTCTTTCAGGTTTTCTAAGTTGTCCTTGCCTAATGAAATGTCTTACTCACTTGCCCAACAGATTTTTTGGGCCGCACCGAAGTTCCAGTAGCAAAAATCCGAACAGAACAAGAGAGCAAAGGCCCCATGACTAAACACTTACTGCTGCATGAAGTTCCAACTGGAGAAGTCTGGGTGCGCTTTGACCTGCAGCTCTTTGATCAGAAAGCACTCTTCTAAGAACACCTTTTTTTTATTTATGAAGGACAACTGAAGCTGACAGACTGAATATCTTTTGATAAAAGATTCCTTGCCCCATGCTGGTTATTAAGCAAGAGTTCCTGCTGCCTCCGTGTTTCCTCTTAGTTCTACTTGTGCTTAGTTCCTTGCAGTGTTCCCAGTTGTTGTTGATCTATGCAAACACAAATGTTACTGTATATACAGTACTATAGCTCAGTGCCTTTTTATTATGTTGGAATATCTTGGGTTTGGATGCCAATGTTTCCATTTTCAGGGCCATAAAAAGTATTAAGTAGAAATGTGGCACCAAGCTGTTTGTATATTTTACCACTTGGTCTGACAGACAGACTGAGGAATGGTTTAAGCTCAACACTGGAATCATTCCATTTGAAATCCTAAAAGTGATATCCACTGGAATCTTCCCCTCTCAGGATGATGGTATTAAAGGTAAAATGCTGAAGAAGCCTTAGTACTGGAGAAGTCTCCAATATATTGTATATTCTTTAAGAATCAAGTGTAGTTCTTTACTTGACTTAGTTCTGCACTGGAATCAGTAACTGCTACTTGATTTTAATTTCTGCTTCAGTTTGATTCATCATTCTCTGCTAAGACAATGTTGTTGTGAAGAATAACTAGAAAAAATATTTTAAATACTGTGACCCACAATAATGTGGCAAAATACTCTTCAGCTTTTGGGTTTTTTTCCTAAATATAAGTTATTTGTGTACATTTCCTTGGTCTTGCAGACCTCCATGTGAATCTTGAAGCTTTGACATTGCCAACATGTATATAGAGAGTAAAATATAAGTTTATTAATGTAATTTGTCTACAGATGTTTATTGATTTTTAAAAAGTATATTTTATTGTACAGGGGAATGTGAAATAATGAGAAAAACTTACAGGATTCGTTCAAGAAAAGTTTATTACAAGTTTAAGAGGTTTGCTTGGGGGGAACTACACCCCAACACAAACCTGTTAAAAAGAGCTGGTTGAAAGCAAAAGCTTTCTCTTGGCACCAAATCAGGGATGGTTAAAAAAAAAAGTTTGTTTATAAAATGTTTGATACATTGTAACCATTTTACTGCCTCCTTAAACTGCCTTGTTGCGAAGCACAGTGTGCCGTTCTGAGCAGCCCTTTCCACGGGTGCAGCAATTCCTCCTGAAGTCTGGCAGTTTCCCATGCAGTCACCATCTGTGCACCCTCCTTACTGAGTCAACCTCTGTTACTTTTAACAGTTTTCTGTGGTTCAGTATTCCTAATCCTAAATAAAACTCAGTCTTGGCAACTCTTGAGAGATTGTGTCTGTACAGTGAGAGTTTGGAGAATAGAGGAAATTCTGTTTCCAGGCTTTGAGACCAGAGTTGCTGTGCAGCCAGACCAGGGGGGAGATGGGACACACTGGAACGGGAGAGAGACTGGGGCACTGGCTCAGCTGCTGCTCAGCACAGACTCTCTGAAAAGCACTTCCCATCTCCTCTCCCCTACTTATTTCCTGCTTTCTCAGAACACCTAATATGTATGTTAAAAAGTTTGATTTACTGCTTGTGCACTGTGTTCAGGAGAGAACACCAGCACTGTTTTTGTTGAGCTGAGCCTAAGTTAAATCTCCTAAAACAGCAGATTTGGGCTTGTAGAGCATGAACTGGAGCTGGCAACAACAGGAGCAGCATCCCAGACATTTCTTTGGCTGCTGAGTAACAACACTTCAGAACCAAGTTCAAGACAGTAAGTTTATTGCAGCTTGCCAGAAGACCTGGCCTGTTATCACTTGCTTTGGCAGGAGATGTAACCTATTTTACAAAGGGTACCTTCTGATGGCTGTGCTTGCTGCTCTGGTCAGCTGGGGGACGGGTGACATCATTGGCTCTCGCTGTCATTGTGGTGATTGATGACTTTCATTCTTTAAACAGAAGTAAAAACTATTGCCATGCTCCTGTAAAGATCAGCTGAGCTGCCAGAGTAGTTCCTTCTACAGAGCACACACACAGCTTGCCTGGGAACTCTCCAACCCTCCTTAGACAGAACACACTCCCTGTGCTGCCGCAGTGGATTTAAAATGAGGAAAACAAACCTCCCCCCTGCCATTGCCTACTGTGCCTCCAAATCTGGGCTTAGTATGGATCCAAATCACATTCCTGCTGAAAACCATGTTCAAATACTCTTGGGCTTAAATGCACTAGGAGCTGGGACCCATATTTGTTCAGGTAATAAAACTAGAATGTGTTTCCCTACAGCAGCACATCAGTAACGTGCTCTGCCTCCTAACTATGAACTGCCTGCTGGTCAAAGGGGAACTCCAAACCTCACACCTTCCAGCAGTCTGTGCACGTCTTCTGGGAGAATGGATCATACTCTGATGGGTCAAAATAGTCCAAAAACACGTAGCCCTGTGGGAGAAGCAGGTACTGGGTCAGGTCTCAGAAGCCTTAGGTGATACAATGGTGAGAGCAGCCAGCCTGGGTGGGACACAGCCTGTGACAGACATGGTGGAGAAGAGGACTCCCAAATTTTCATACACTGCACCTCAGAAATAAGGTGACTGAAGTGTAACAGGAAAATTCCTCTATCCATTTTAATTTATCATAGGCATAAATACATAATACATGATTTCATGGAGCATCCAGAAATAATTTCAGGCTAAGATGCTAACCTTAACTAGGGCAGTCAAGACAGTGGAAATTTCAGTCAAGGGAAAATGTTTTGACAGAGAAGGAAACAGCTATTGAAAAGAAAAAAAGAAAGGAGTGGGTAAGCCCTCAGCAGGCACAGCCCTAGGCAGGTCACTGGTCTGGGTTCATGAGCTGGCTTTTCCATCTAGACATAAGAGTAAAGACCTGAGCCACACCGCATAGTCCAGGTCACAGCTCCCTCTCATCAAAAACTGCCTGCAACAATCAACATGTTCTACAGTTCAAGTTCCCTATAACAAGCACATAAAATAGTCCTCCCTAATATTCTTTCTTACAAAACCTTGGAAATGAACTTTTTAATCTTTCTTGTGTGGGTGATTCTCCAGGGATCCCAGGAAGGAAGGGAGCATTCAGCCCATGGCCTCCTAGATCTCGGCCCTACACAGTTCTTCATGGCAATCTGTGGATGTGATTTCAAGACTTGGAAAAAACCATACTTTAACCTGAACAGCTCAGGAGCTCTGCAAGGCAAGTCCAACCAAAAAAAAAAGTGGGATCTACAGTAGATTTAAGAGGTCACTGTGCTGAAGCAGTTCACAGGGAAGTGAGCCAGGCCCTGAGGGCCTGTGCTGTTCTCAGACACTTGGGAAGCACCGTGAGGCTTCTCTACTGCTGAGTGTGAATGCTGCCTCTGCAGGGGCCTCTGCTCCTCAGGATCTGGCAATTCCCCATGCAATAAGCAGCAGCCACACTCATCATCTCATGTTTCTGTCCCTGGAAAGCTTCAAGCCCTAATAGAGCTCAATTTGCAGAATTTTAGTGCCACCCCTTGGTTTGTTATCACATATCACCCCTTTACAGGGTCTGCTGAGACCTCAGTGGATCACAGAGGTGCTTTGCTGCACTCCCAGGTCTGATCCCTTCATGTGGTCGATGCATTACCCCTCACACAGCCCTTGGAATAAAGCAGAGTAAAAGCTCTTCAAAATGAATCAGGGGGGTCTCTTTCTCTGCAGCACACAATGCCTACAATAGCCTGGACTACCAGAAGCTGAGTTGTGGCTAACACAGCAGCAACCCATGCAGGGGAATCCCCTCTCCTTGCAGGCTGCACTGTCACACTGCCATCTTCAGTCTGACCAACCATCTTGTTAGACACCTGCAGTCCATGGCCACAGGACTGGAGGGGAGGAGGAGTGAGAAAGGCAGTGAAAAGGAGGCAGATTTGAGGCAAAAAACCTCACATATGAGCAGGTCCTTGGAAGAACAGGGAGTCAAGGAAGGGAGGTAAAGGAGGAGAGGTCAGATGCTGTGAAAAAGGCAGATGAGTGAGCTGACAAAGACTGAGATGGAGGAATTTGGAAAAAGAGTGAGGAGAGGACGAGAATGGAGGAAAGGGGGAAAAGACAGCTTTGGAAAGCAAAGGGCAGTGAAGAACTTGGAGGAATTATCAGAAGCAACAAGAAGATGGAGACACAGCAGTGGGGAGTGTGACAGAAGAAAGAGGGGCAAAACGGATATATGGATGGAGTAAAAGAGTTGACTGGAGAGAGAAAGAGAGCAAGAGGAGAGACTGGAGGAAGAATAATAGACATGGAAAGAAGGAATGGACCAATGACAGGCATGGGAAGGTGAGGAGATCTGGGAAACAGGAAGAGAAGCCTAATAGCAGGGAAGAGAGCAAATGGACAAAAAGAAGGGAGTGAGGGGAAAATACATAGCCAGAAGTCAGTATATTAACCAATCTACAGAAATGTTTCAAGTTCTGCAAAACATATCATGTGCTGCCACAGTCAATGCAAACTTATGCAAGTGAGTTGTCCTGTAACTCTGAAGGGCTTCAACCTGCTCTGCAGACATGCTGATGATAGAGCAGACACCACAGAGCAAGGGGAAAAGGTGGAGGCTGATCGCTGGTGCTGGTGCTTCCCTTCCAGGAGGACACATCCCAGCACATCAGCCAGTGCTTTTGGAGGACACCCAGCAAATTCCTGACCTGACACAGAAGCTTGGAAGTGGACTGATGCAGACCCAGATATGTACAGTACACCCAACATATCCTAAATCCTAGGACATCAACAGTAAGACTGGTTCAGGTCTTTGTTGTTCCATGCAGTTTAAATGCATGGGTCTGTCACATCAGGCCTTTGAAAAAGAAATCATTTGCTCTCGTTAAAACAACACAGCTCCCATGACATTTTCATTTCTGGCTGAGAAGGTTGTTTACAGTCTCATGACTCCACTGTGCAGTGGTTTCCACTGACAACAAATTCCTGCTCTCAATAAAATATTATCATTTTTATGTAACTGCTCTTACTGCTCTATATTTCCATTCCTGAGATGCAGAAAATTGAGTTGTGGGACTTGATACTCAACAGTGGTGTGAAATTCAGAGCAAAATGAAGAAAACCAACAAGTATTTCCTACAGTGACTGCACTTTTTCTGAGTACTGAAACCCATGGAATTACAAAAAGTTGGGTCTATTGCCTGTATACAGACTTCAAGAAAATTGTTTGTATCTCCCTGTTCCCACATTTTTTTCTTTTATGAAGCTTGATCAGTAGCATCCAAGGCCACAAAATCATTTCATTCGTGCTCTGCCAACATACTGCAGCAGTGATGTAGCTTAACTTCTGAGACATGAGAGTGCAGTCCACTCCCTGCTCAGTGAGTCTTTGACTTCAGCTGACAGAGCTCAGTTTTTCCCACTACATGATCCAGCTCACAAAGGGAAATACACATCAATATGGTGTCTCATCATATTCAGACCCAAGTAAGGCTATTGTCTGTATCTGATGGTGAACTTGAACAGCTCTAACATCATATGTCACCATTACAGAAGTCCTTGGGAAAGAAAGGTAAGTTACAGGTAAGGTGCATCTGAATTCCAGGCTACTCAATGGACAGCAAATAGCAGCTAAACCCCTGATCTTGTCCAAAGCCCTCCCTATGCAACCCTCTCCATGACAGAAATTTACTTCTCCTTGATACCTTCTTGTTACAGTAGTTTAAATACTGAGACAATTGTTCCTGTTTCCTTTTCTGCATTTCTTCAATTGACTGACTGCCCATTTCATCCTCAATTTTCTGCAGCACTGGCTCTAAAACATCCTTAAGCCATTCTTTGTACACGATCTCCTTCTTTCTCAGATTTAGGAAATCACTGTGCCTCAGGTATCTGTCCACCTCCTAAGTAAGAAATGCAAAATAAAACCATACAAATTATTAGTCAAGCACATTAAAGGTTTCACAGGTGAAGGCTGACTGGTCTCTGCTCCAAGGGTGCTGTTTTCCAGCCCTTCTTTGTGCTCCTCCCTCTCTCCACTTCCCACCACTCATTTCCAACCTCTCACTTGCAAGAGCTCTGGCATTCAGACCCTTAACTTTTGAAACCGTGGTGCAAGACTGGCAGAAAATTACTCACTTTTTCCCAAAAGGTTATTGAGCTCAAATCACTGCAGAACAGGGGGCTGATAAGCAGCAGACTGTACAAGACAGGCAGCAGGAGAGGGACCCTCTCCCTGCAGCACTGGCAATCTGCTAGATCAGATCAAATCAAATCAGATCAGATCAGCCCTGCTGCCCTTTGCTCACAGCCCCACTGACCAACTAACCACATCCACAGAGCAAATATTAGGTGCAAACAGGCAGGTAAGTTACCTATGATTCACATTTAGGGTTACTACTTCAGTCATATCCAGAGGAGAGGCCACAAACTCATACTTCTAAATTAGTTTTTCAAGAATACAGACAATTAACATTTTCTCACAAATCACTGACCAGAAACTAGCACACACTGACATGCAGGAAAGCACACAACAAATGAGAAGAGATACCACTTCTTACCCTCACAAAACAATTTTCTCTGTCCAAGATGCACTGAACAGAAGCAATGATGTCTCGGCTTTGGTCAGGTGTTACCTAACAGAACATTAAAAACCCACATGAAGTAAAAGCAGGACTCAGACTAGGAGTCAGATTTACTTTTGAATTCAAAATAATCACTGGTGTTGTGATTAAAGGCACATTATACCATAACCCAGCTGGCAAATCCTTGTGAGACTTGCTCGGAACAGTGGGGATAAGTAGCAACAGATGAGTGTTGGAAGAACTGGAATGGGAACAGGAATGTACATGTTAAGACCATACATTTCCTTGGCTGCTCCTCACCATGACCACACACCACTTGTTCCTTGCCACTGTTGCTCACCTGGGCCAAACACGTGTCTCATAAACTCAACTCCTGCACTGCAGCCGAGGAGCACAAGCAATACGGACCAAACCCATCTATCACTTGGGGATGGAATTCCTGCAGGGAAGATGAGGGGGGTACCTCCCCTGTGATCAGGCTGCACCAGCTCTGTGGGTTAACCAGAGAGACCTTGTCTTCACGAGTCCATCAGCAGCTTCTACAAGCAACAAGTTGTCCAAGTTTTGGCTGGGATAGAGTTAATTTTCTTTCTAGTAGCTGGTACAGTGCTGTGTTTTGAATTTAGGATGAGAGTAATGTTGATAACACACTGATGTTTTAATTGTTGCTAAGTAGTGTTTACACTAAGCCAAGGTTTTCTCAGCTTCTCTCCCCACCCCACCAGTGAGCAAGCTGGGGGGGTCACAAGGAGCTGGGAGGGGACACGGCTGGGACAGCTGACCCCAAATGACAAAGGGTTATCCCAAACCTCAACTGAGCTGGTTTTACTCAGGCTTAAGCCAGAGGCAGGGCTGAAGCATTCACATTTCACCTGTCTGACCTGCTGCCTCCTCCTGTGGTTTCCACAGATGAATTCAAAGTCATCCCTGCTGTGACTTTCTTCTGCTGTTTAAAAACTGAGCTACAGCCACAGCATTTTTGCACGAGCCCACCATGCCAGTGGCAGCACAGACTCAAGGAATGCATTTGATGCACAGAATGGAAAATTAGCCTGCTACTCCCTGTGCTTAATATTGATTCTTTCTTCCAATAAACAGTGTAGTTTCCAGTCACGTCTGTCTTGACCTTGCTGACCAGCTCCACACTCCAACAGGTTTATTATCCTGAGATAAGCAGGACATCATATATTAAACCAGGCAAGGAAAGGATAAGTAGTATTAAAAAAAACACCAAAAACAAATGAGAAGAGGAAATCTAAATTGCTGGCATGTTTTAAGACCCTTTCATCCTACTATTTGAAGCAACTGGTACGTTGTATTACACCTGACAAATCTACTTCACATAATCACAGATCCTTTCTAAAACCAGCACCATAACAGCAGCAGGGAGACACAGCCATCACTCCAGCTGAGAACCACCAGCAGAAGGTACTCAGAATACACACTGGTGAGTAGGTGAAAAGTCTTCCTTCAGGATGATCCCTCTCTGAAGACTCCTTAAGAACCAAAGGAATTAGGTCTCCTTTGACTGAAGGAATTCAGTCTATTCTACCTGGAAAAGAGCAGGCTCAGGGGGAGCCTCATCACAGTACTTATAGAGCAGCTACAAAGAGGATGGAGGTTCTCTCTGCACCAGAAGCCACAGGGAGGAGACAAGGGGTAAGAGGTACAAGTTGCATTGGCTGAAGTTTCATCTCAATATAAGAAAGAAATTTTTTAGAGTGAGATCAATCACTGACTGGAACAACCTCCCCAGGGATGTGGTGGAGTCCCCATCACTGACGGTTTTCAAGATGTGATTGGACAGGGTGCTAGACAACCTCATCTGGTGTCTCTTTCCCAAAAAAAGGTTGAACCAGATGATCTTTCAAGGTCCCTTCCAGCTGAGGCTGTTCCATGAGTCACAAGCTTGTTTCAGGTTTTATGGGAAACTTTTCCACATACCAAACTGCAAATAACTGGATAAAGCTGCCTCAAAAGGATGCAAGAGCTTGATAAAACCCATTGAGTTGGTTGCTTTTTACAGAGTTCTTTGTTCTTCTCCATGACAAATACATCTCAGATTTTGCAGAACTTTCTGAATAATTATTTTTCATTCCTCCCTTCATAACTTCCATTTCATTCCTCCACTCATATCTTTGCACAACAGAAGCCCTTCTGTGTTAGCCAATCTTTGGCAATAGTTTTCTTCTGCAGTCAAAATTATTTGCTGTGACACTTTGCTGGTACTGAGGAGAACTGGATAAAAAGGTAAAGAAAGGGTGAGGTCTGCATAAAAAGCCAACCTGCTTTACAAAGATCAGGCCCTCATCCAGGTTCCACAATCAAGCTACAAACTGGGATGGAGCAGTAGGAAGTAACATACACTGCAATAACCATTTCTGAGTGTGCCCAGAAGGGACAGACTGAGACACAAGGCTCCTGCTGGCTCACAGATGAATTCAGGCACATACCAGGGACGGCAGTCTGGCACAGACAGACAGACCAGAACACTGTCCAGAATTCAGTGGCATTAGGTGGTCAGTTCCAACACAGAAGCCCAATTACACTCAAATACTCTGGGATCCCAGTTACAGACACTGGTTTCCTGTGATTCTTCACAGTAGAACCTACAGCTGAAGGACTGTTGGGAGTCACTCACCTGCCAAGGCCGTGGCTGATCAGGTTCTTTCACAGGTCTCAGATGTGTCATTATTTTTAGCCAGGGAGTCTCTGAGCTGTTCACACTGTGCATGGTTGGAATAATCTGGGAGAAACATTAAAACAGCCAAAACATACATAACTATTGTATAAACAGCAAAAACCTCATTTTCTTACAATTCCTATCAATTGATGAAGCAAATCTCTAAAGGAATTCTAACTGCTGCATTCTCCTGTCATAGCAAGTAAAACAGAGATGAAGCATCAGGTTTACAGTCAGGTACTGCCTCTGGTGGGACTGTCTGTCCTCATCTCCACAAACAACGGACAGTACATTTTGTTTCAAAGAACAGTGGTTCACAAATCATTCCAGAATGCCTGTCAGCTTTGAAAACATTTCAGAGTTATCAAATTCCACCTCTGGACTATTACTTATTTCCTTTGTGCCTTTTTCAGTCACATAAAAGTCACTTTCAAGTAATTGCTACATCCCCCCCCGGGGCTGGCTGCATTTTAGTGGGTTTTAAAGTCAGTTCTACCAGACAAAGCTTATGCTGAAGCACCAACTCTGAGCTCCAGCCAGAAAATTCCACCTCCTCTCTTGTATGTGCCTCAGTATGTCTGAATCGATTTATAACAGAGACAGGAGAACCACAGAGGCAAAATGCCCTTTACAGGAACCTCCACTTAAACATCTTTATTTCAGATTCACTGGAGACACACTGCTTCCAGGAAACAATGGATTCACAAAATTACTTAAGTAAAGAGTGGAACAAAAGAAAAGTTTATTTCTGCAGAGATACTGACCTCAAGTCTTCAGCCAGATCTTTCAATCACGAAAATATATTCTGTTCTTCAATTATTTTTTGCAACATCCAGTTAAAAGAATCTGCAAAGACTCTCCAAATCAGATATTCATAGAAGGTAACAATATTTTTTGCACAAGACAATATTTAAAAGTTTACTGTGTCCAACCCAGCACTTCAGTGACAATATCTGACTCCCAGATGGCCTCTCTGGACTGCAGATTCAAATCTCTTAGCATCGGTTCAAGGTGCAGTCTGCAAACTGTATCTTTATTTGTTTCATTTCACATATCCTTGCCTGGATATTCCCACTTCCTCACAGAAATGCTTTCCTGTCTTTTCTGTCTGAAAGAGTCAGAAACTACAGGCAAGTGTGTGTTGGAAGGGTTCTCAGGAGTCCCAGTCCCGTGCCAGCTTGAAGAAGAGCAAACCTCACAGATAGGATTGCTCAGGGCCTCGCCCAGCCAAGTTCTGAAAATTCCCCTCCTCAAATTTGAAAGCTCGTGTCCTTCCCTCCAACTGCTTCTATAAAAGAAAAATCCTCATTTCTGCCATGTAAGCCAGGTAAAGCCAAATTAAGGGGAAAAAACAATGTAATGCACATGGTACCAGGGACCTTCCTTCCCTCCTGCATAACTCTGCCAGATTTCTATTCTGTCATCAGACACAAAGAAAACTAAAAATTTGCAGTGGAGTAGGTCACAACATCCCAATTCTCCACGGAATTTTTTCAGCCCCAGTAAGTCAGGCTCCAAACCCAGAAATACACACTGGCCTTGGCAGTGTGGCAGCCCAGCAGGTCCTTCCTCTATAGTGATTCCCTGCCCTCTCTGTACAGAGGAGACAAGAGATACAGAAGAAAATACGGAATTATAATTAGGACACAGGATTTGGAAAGCAGGTGTCCTGCCACTTTCCATGTGGAAATGAACATTTTTTTGTCTACATGTGCCCCAATGGTCCCTGCAGAGAGCTGTGCTATGGAGACTGGTGTTCCCTGTGAGAAGCCCCTTGCTCCAAAAACAATCTCCCTTTTATCCAGACAGCCCAAGTCTACTGAGTTCCAAGAAAGCATATCCAACCTGCTAGTGTCTGAGGAGCAGGGGAAGGATTCTCACAGTTTACCCTTCATCCTGTAATAACCAATTAAAGCAAACAGATAAATGACACTACATAAACTCTGATTAGCACTGACCCAATTTCTGATACAAAATAACAGGCAAACAGAGAGGACTGAAGCTGGGCTGAACTGGGGTGCTACAGATTTGGTATTAGACAAGTCAACAAACCTTCCTATGAGCAAGACATCCCACCTACCTGCACAGGTACCATGGGCTCCTTGGTCACACTATCTTTAACTGATTTCCTTTCCCTCGAAGTTTTGTTCTTCTGGGGTAGGGATGCTGTAAATCCCTGAACAAGTTTGAGACGAAGAAAATATATATCTTGATATTTTAAATTACAAATTACATAAAATACATATTCTAATATTTTAATTTCTAATCTTACAAAACAAGTAAAATTTTAAAAAAACCACAACCATTAGGCTCCTTTCTGTCTTCAGTAACTAGTATTAGGACTCCATCCATCTCACAAAGAAAGGCTGAGCCTTTCTGTGAGCACAAAGCAAAGGAGGTGTTTGATCTCATCACAGAGAATCGGGACCCCAGGGGAGACAAAACAGAGCAAACATAGAGAACCTGCCTCTGCAGCAATCTGCCCTCAGGAACCCACAAGTGATAAACACTCTAACTGCAGATTTTTTCCCCCCAGTCTTCATAACTCAAGCTGCCACTGAGTCCTTTCTTTTACTTCTTTGTTTGGAGTCTTGCTAGGAGACACCAGCTTTCTGTGACTAACAAAGGCAGGGCCCACTGACCTGAGACAGCAGCTGTTTTTCAGGTCTTAAAACTAAAGGTTTAACCACAGGCTTGGACAGAAATACAGTAAAGCATTTCCAAAATCTGAGTGGATAAAAAAAAAATTTGCAGTTCAAGTAGCAGTTGCAGCCTGCAAACGCCAAATCCCATGAGCAGGTTGGCTGTTCTGTAATATTAGGACGTTTGTTCCACTGCCCCACATCCTTGGAAGTGTTCAAGGCCAGACTGGATGGGGCTTCGAGCAACCTTGTCAAGTGGAAGGTGTCCCTGCCCATGGCAGGGGGCTGAAACCGAAAAGAACCTCAAGGTCCCTTTCCAACTCGAACTGTTCTCTGATTCTGTGAAAGAACCAGTCTCTAGTGCGAGCAGGGCAGCTCTATGAACCCTGCAGCTTGTGAATGCGGAGCTAACAGATAACATGTGCAAGGCCGGAGCGTTCCGGCCTGGCCCCCGCACCTCGGAGGCAGCGATCGGGACCAGGCCAGTGAGAGGAGAACGCCGAACCACCCGACCCGCACCCTGCCCGGCCCTGAGGCGGGTCCCGCAGACCGCAGGGCAGGCGAGGGCGGGCAGCAGAGCCCCGCTCCCCCCACCGCCGTGCCGGGGTCCCTCACCGGCCCCAGGGGCGGCCGGACGAGGCTACAGTGGGAGCCAAACCCGCCCCGCTCGGCACAGCCCCGCTGAGGGGAAACGGCGGTGCCCCCCTACGCTCACGGTTGTTGTAGAACTCCTCCGTGTCCTTCCGCCGAGGAAAACAGCCTCTCTCCCATTACCCACAGCCTCTCGGGACGAGGAGGCACCGCCCTCGGGGACAGGGATGGGGCAGCCCGGCCGCAGGGCGGGCACCCGGACCCTGTTCCCGGGAGGAGGTGGGACGTGGGCACGGACACGGGCACGGACACGGACACGGGCACGGACACGGACACGGGCACGGGCACGGACATGGACACGGACACGGGCACGGGCACGGGCACGGGCACGGGCACGGACACGGACACGGACACGGGCACGGACACGGACACGGACACGGACACGGACACGGACACGGGCACGGGCACGGGCACGGACACGGCCGGGCCCCGCCGCGCGCGGCCGCACAGCGTCCCGCGCTGCCATGGCAACCCCAGCCCGCGCGCTGCTCCCGGCAGGGCTGCCCACCAATCAGAGAGCGAGAGTGCGGCCAGTGAGCCAATCAGGAGCGAGAACAGCCCGGCCGAGCCGAACCCGAACCCAGCCGAGCCGAGCCGAGCCGAGGAGGCGAAGTCAGGGTCACTGGTTTAGCCAAAGTTCACTAAATTGTATTACAAGATTTCACACATTACCGTGCAGTGCTAGCCGTGACATTAAATTTGAAACTGAAGGCAGCCAGAGATACCAGATGAGGGAAATGTGAGGGTTTTTTACCTCAACAGCGCTGCGCTGACGCAGAGATCTCGCACTAACCAAGTGTCACATAAAAGGGGGGGTTCCTCAAAACCTTTATATTTGATTTTTAAAAAAAATATTATTATGATTGATTTGTGAGCGCCTCAGGAAAGACAAGTTTCTCGTGCCCAGGCAACCTGTCAGTGCCCAGCCCCTGGTCCTGCACGGGACACCCCAAGAATCACAGCATGTGTTTGAGAGCCTGAGAGCCCTGTCCAAATGCTTCTTGAACTTTATCTGTTCTTGAACTGCATCGGAGGGTGGGTCAACCAACCTTTTCAGGGACACTAGCAAAGTGTCAGAGCCAAACCCCTTATTTCAATTTGGAAAGAGAGACCCCCTGCTGGATCCCACCCTCTCTTGGTATTTTATCAGTTTTGTCAAGTGTTACACACTGCTGCAGTCTGCCAGCGCCCTTGAAGGACTCATACAGAACAGTTTAAGGAATAACACACTTTATTAACAAATATACCGATCACAGAAGATTGTGACAGAGTCAGGGATTGATGTTGACACTGAACTGACTCCAAGAAAAAGTCTGAAGCAATACACAAACTAATCATGGAGGAAAGCTTGAAATAATAATTAGCACACTTAGAATAAAGTTCTTACCCAACAGGCCTCCCTAGAGGGGATAAACCAGGTTCAGCCCATTGATCAATCCCAGAAATTAGGATAGGGGGTCTTCCCCAAGGTCTCCCCCTCTTAACTCACTGTTACATTATTTCTTTACACTTATATGGAGCTTGAGTGACTCCAGTCACACGTACTTTTGTTCCTGATTGGTGCAAAATTCTGTCACTTTGCTCTTAAAGATATAGTTAATAAAATAGAGACCACGTGCTCAGGGAGGGGTGGTAACTTTGGGATGGAGGTGTGTGACAGTATTACAGTATTATATGAGATTATAATGAGCAAGGTTCATCTGAGGAGAGCGATTTTGCCACAGTTGCTGGTTCAGCAACAAGACATCTTTTCCTCTCTCACTTGGTTGACAGCTGCTCTGCGGTTTATCAGCCACCTGGTACCATCCAGTTCCCATTCCTGCGGGGATTACAACAGAGCCTGGTCGCGGTGTCTTCGCTCCACCCTCCGAGTCACCCCCCCTTAGCATCTGCGGGGTGTGTTGCCTGGGGAACTGCCATGCAATAGATTCTGTGCTTGCCAACCATTCTCTCCTCGAAGAAGCAACTGTGTTTCACCCTAAAATTTCCTTAATGTTATAACTTCTGTTAGAATGTGACTATAACTTTAGACTCAAGATATTTTCCCACATAATCCACCCCGCAACTGGAGTCACTCAAGCTTCACAATATCCAAATGGAGTTTAAGAGTGTTTTATGCATTTGTATTGCGGGGGTTATCTAATGTTTGTGGGGGCAGCCAATAGGCTAATTGCTTCACAATAATGCAAACTTTAACACACAATACTAAGACAAAAAGCAAAAGAGTTAATGTCAATAAAACAACAGGGAAAAGCACTCTCTCGAGAATTCCTGTAGCAGTTGGTGATCATCCAAAGAGAGTGTCCCACCACCAATGTTCTGCATCTTTCTTGACTGTTTCTGAAATATGATGTATTTTCTCCACATTATGATGGATGGGAATCAGAGTCCTTTGTCCATTTCCTTGAGTTTGCTTCAGCAATTGGTTTAGGTCTTCATGTTGCAGTAGCTTTCTGCTCAAGTTGAAATTTGCTCCAATAGGGGTAGGCAGCAGGTCTTCAATCAGCATATACTTACACCATAACAATTGATAAGATGTGACAGAAGCTGAGTAAATAAAATCACATCCCATAATTTCAACAAACTTAGAAACACAAATATCTGAGTCATTACTTGTAGATACAGTAACATTATCTACAAGTAAAGAATCCCAAAGAGTTCATACACAAACGCTTCCATTATCAATATTTACAAATGAAAACATTTTTAGGGTTTTCATTAGGATGTGTCTCAAAATGACAAACACTTTGTTCAGTTGTAAGACAAATGTCTTGAGCTGTGATGGTGTTATTTTCACAAATGACTCCTTGTTGTTCTTGTACAATTACATCAATAGTTTGTCATTTATTTCCATCCTCTAGGGCCCATACCCTATGCTCCAGGGATAGAGTATGATCTGTTGTGATTTAACCCTGACACAATGATAGGGTATGTAACATATACCCGAGCAATGTGTACAGTTAACACAAAAGCTGTGGCTGTGCTGTCGATGGCATCATAGGTAAAACTGACTAAATACCACCAGGATTGGAATTTTTCTTCAAACTCAATCACATTGTCCCAAATTACTTCTAGAATTTCAGTGGGTAAGATACCTTCTTTACCTTCCCTTATAATTGTGGCTGTCATTGATTGCATCCACAGCTGAGCTTGGATAAAACAAAGAAACATTTGTCCACCAAGTGAATCTATGATCAAGTGATGTTTTTTTCACCCTCCGACTGAGGGTAAAAGCTATTGGTTCGTTCCCAGATCCAAAAGGGAGGATTGTAGAGGGTGTTTCAATTTGTTGATCTCACTAGTTATCATGACTAGTTTGTTCATTAATCTCTCAGAGTCTATGCTATTTTGAACTCCCAGTCCTGTTCCCAAGATGCCAGGCACATCTCTTTTTGGGGAAAGAGTGATCATTTATGCAGCCATGCTGCCCATCCTGCATAAGAGGTTCTCAGGAACGGTGAACAAATTTTTTGGATTGTAGAAACATCATTTTGCTTCAATTCAACTTGTCTGAGCGACCATGACAGGTTAAACAACATCTGTTGTTGACCAACAGGTTAAACAACATCTGTTGTTGACCAATATTTTTGATCACATATGGTCCAATTTCAGAACTTTGTGGGTTGCTCAGGGTGGATGGCTTGGTAGCAGGGCTAGATTTCATTACTTTTTTTCTAAACTCTCCTCAGAAATCTGAATTTCCTGTTTCACACAAAACTCTAAATGGATCTTTTATTGCATTTTGATTTAGCCAACAATCCTGATTTTTGCTTTCACAAAATGAATTTCAAAATTTATAAAATTCTGTGGTCCAGTTCCATAGCTATTTGCGGATTTAATGAGGGATTCATTAATCTACAACCCTCAGTAATGTCATCACCAGGCACTATGGTGAGAAGGGTATGTCTCCATCATCACTGGTCAGGGTGATGAGGGTGCTTCTCTTTTCTGCATGGTCATTAATTGTAGCCACTGCAATGAGCACTGCAAACAGAGCAGTGTAGCTGGATCAAGTTTATTTGTTCTAAATTTAAGTGTCAGCCCTAGACTATGGTAGCAGGTGTTTTCTTTTGTTGCCAAAGGCATAACTTGAAAACAGGTTTAAGCAAAGTAAAATTACACCAACAATCCCCTATTTCAGTGGAACAGAATTTCTTATTTGTTGTTCTTAGACCTAATGTACTATGGGAGACTATAATTTGAGTGGCCTTTCCATGTTGTAGATCCATCGACCATTCTGCTTCCTATTTGGACTTCTTCTCCAATTGTTCCTATCAAGAGGTGAAAACAATCCTCTCTATCCCAACCCTACTCATATTTTGAATATACTTCAGCTCCGTGCATAACCACAATGGCTAAATTTAGGTTTGTGTTTATATATATATATATATATATATGTATAAAATATATATATACTTATGGGGGTTTAAAAATGTATGTATGGGGTATATTCCCATACATCTGGTGTTCTTATTGTAAGCTTAGGGCCATGGTTATTTTGTGTTCTCTTGATTATAAATGAAGGGAAACTGAATTGTCAGAATAATGGCACAAATCCAACCTGTATTTCAGCTAAGATTAATGACAGTATCCCCTGTCTGCATTCAGTGTTGCTGTAGCCTAATCCATCTGTCCATGTGCAGTTCATTCGAAATTCCTGTAAAAAAAGAAAAGAAAGGAAATACGCTTGGTTGAAAGTGCAACGGGCAGGGTTAAGTAAAATGAGGGCAAAATCCATTGAGTACTGATTCGATGTATTTTTCCTGAGCAATCTCTTGCTTCCCACTTCCCAAGCACAGAGATTCTCAGGGGTGACTAGTACCACTGGCACTGTTCCAATTTGAGGCATTTTTACTGATACAGGTTGTCCAGCACAAAATCCAGCAGGTATTCCCCAGGTTTAGTGTGGACCTTTAGGAGCAACTGTATTAGCACATATGCATTGTGAATGAGCTGTCACTACTTGTTCACACAGTTTAACTGATACAGGCCATCCTCAGGCACTGCCTTCCCAACACAAGTCGGCTCATCTGGTTCTCCCACTCCTGGTCGTCATTTACAGTTTCAAGCTTGGGCAGCCATGTAAGGCCATCTTCCTGTTGGTTAAATTCAGCAGTGACTGAATCCAATTGATCATGTCCTTTAATCCAATCAATGTACAACACTCCCTGTTCTCCTATTTCCAATAACTGCTTTCAGCTATGAGTCTGCCAGGCTGGGATTCTCTTTACCTGCCAGGTGGTGGCTGCCTGGC